GAGGAGGTAGTAAACGAGTGAATAAAGAATGAGAGACAGGATGAAAGAGTTTTCCACAAGCAGCTCTCCTCAGTAAACACACCAGAACTCAGCGTGATGTGTGTGAGGTTGCAAGGTGGAGAAAACTGCAATGAGTTCTTCCTGGAGCAATATGAGAGAGGCGTTCAGGTCTAAAGCCATGATCCACAACCCACAAGCTTGATGCTGACTGAAAGCACATTTTTTGTACACTCATTCAGCTAGTAATTCCAGATACACATTAGATTTATTAGGTTTTATAGGTGGTGCAAAAGAGACTCAAATTTATCATGGAAATAGTTTGATCAAATTAAATTGGCACATTTTTTCCACTTACCTCAGTGTAGTCGATCATCAAGACTTGTTTGCTGTCTCATGTTTGTGCCTGGCACACACTACAACATTCGTAACCGATGTTATAAATATAAGAATTTCCCAGTATAATGACAGTTTTACAAATTTTTTTGTAAATCTTCCATACCGCTTTTCCTATGCAGGGGAGCCTGGACAGAGAAAGGGAAAGAGAGAGACAAAAAGACAGAAGAACCGAGGATGAGAGCGAGAGAGACAAAAGGGGCTATAACTATCCCAGGGAACTTAGGGCATGAGGCAGGGGACGAGGTGCGAGGCAAACTTGCCAACCACTAAGCCACCGCGCTCCCACGGATCATCCTTTAGCTAAATATAAATGGATAATTAACTACTAGCTCCTTTCAAATAAAGTAATAAATATAGATAGTTGGTCAGCATTACTCAGAGGATTTGTTGTTAGAATAGCTAAATATAAATAACTAACTAGCCAAGTAACAATCTGACGTTGGCCCAACAGTAGCCATTCTGTCAGTTTGTCTAAATTCACCTCGCCCAATGTGAGCCATTTTGTTCCGGCAAGTTTAGGTGCCAATTTTGACACAACATAATTCTGTTTGTTGGAAGAGGACTGATTCAACTTTGGGTTTTCTTTAAAGTGCTCCATCGCCAACGTTGGCCCAGTGTTGCATATGGAAGTCCAACACTGCCACCAAAAATAGATGTTGGACCAGTAACCTGGGTTTAGTTAGTCAGCTACTATCAATCTATAAAATAAACTATTAAATAAAAGAAGGTATTAAATACGCTGGTGTTACACTGAGAGGGTGTCTCTAGCAGCTAAACATCACTGTAACTTGGGCTGGAAGTAATGGATATACTGTGTCCACGGTGGTCTTTGTCAATAGATTTAGTGACTTTTAAATGTACAGCCCTATAAATATGTTGAAAAAAAGACAATAAAGATGGGAGACTAAGAACATATTCTTCACTTTCCTAATGTAATATCACAGATATATACATAAAAAAACTAACATCAATCAGTATAGTAAATGTCATCACCTGATAGTAGATACAGTTGAATAATTTTTGTTAGCCTCTCTTTAAAAATAAATAAATCTCCCATTCTACTTTCAGAGCACAAGTTATTGTTTAATTGATATATATAATATATAATGTGTTTAAAAGTGTTTTAGTTTACGGCTGTGACAACACAGTGGTGCAGCAGGTAGCATCGCTGAGCCTGGGTTACTGTCTGTGTGGACTTCCTGTGCATGCTATCCCTATGTCCCTGTAGGTTTCCTCCAGGTTGTCTGGTTTCCTTCCACCTCCCAAAAACATGCCGGTAAGGGTTGTGGCTATGCTAAAAGAGATCCTCCAGATCCACCACAACCCTGGTGTGGTGGATGAAGTTGAGTGAGTGAATGATGATGTACAGGAAGGGATGGAAGGTTTTAAACTGGACAATTGTTCCTGTGGTTATTGTTCTGTTGTAGGCTTATGGACGTGAGGTACCGCATGTTAATGTGAATCATTAGTCCATCCATCCATCTTCTACCACTTACTCCTTAGGGGAACCTGGAGCCAATCTCAGGGAGCATCGGGCACAAGGCAGGGTACACCCTGGACAGGGTGCTAGTCCATCGCAGGGCACAATCACATACACACTCACACACCACGGACACTTTAGACCAATGAGCCTACCATGCATGTCTTTGGGGAGGAAACTGGTGGACTCGGAGGAAACCCCCACAGCATGGGGAGAACATGCAAACTCCGCACACACATGGTCCTGGCTAATGATTCATGGCGGGAATCAAACGCCGGACCCTGGAGGTGTGAGGCGAACGTGCTAACCACTAAGCCACCGTGCGCCCCATGAATCATTAGTGTTTCACTTAATTTAATACCTTACAAAGCTCCAGGTACTACAGCAAAATATACGGTGCGAGATTTAAGATAACTCATGTATTTTCAGTGCAGTTTACATCAAGGGAAGCTATTGTCTGCGCACAACATGACAATCATGCTGAATGACTCACTGATTTTTTTTCTTCTCATTTTCTGAGGCAGATGTTGTAAAATCGAACCACTGCCGACTTGGCTGTGATTTCCATACACATGAGAGTGAGAGAGTGAGTGAGAGTGAGTGAGAGAGAGATTGGTGGAATTAAAGCAACTGCAAAGGAGGAATAAACAGATGGGGAGAGCAAGGAATTAAAAAAAAAGCAGACAGTCCTTCTCGCCTGGTCCATCCACTCCATCCCTGGGAGTATCTGTGAGAGACGGAACACTGTGTCAACACAAAGTGCCCGCTGTGTACTACAGATCAACATGTGACACACACACACACACAGAGAGAGAGAGAGAGAGAGAAGAGAGAGAGAGAGAGAGAGAGAAAGACTATCGTCCTCAAGGGATCGTCATCCTTTTGCGTGTGCGTGTTCATCTGAAAGAATAAAGAAATGAAGATTAAGATGAGTATGGCGGCCACTGCTAAGAGAGAGAGAGAGAGAGAGAGAGAGAGAGAGAGAAACAGAATAAGAAAGAATGACTGCAATAACCTGAAGAGACAGAACAAAAGACAGAGGATGACAGAGCGAGACAGTGAGGGAATGACAGGAGGAAAGAGAGGAGGGGGGGAGGAGGAGGGGAGTGAGATTGACAGCCCACGCTCCCTGGGACATGAATAAACCAGCACAGCATGCACTGCCTCTTCCACAGAAAACGTCTCCATAATCAAACCGTAACGCAGTGCTGGAGGGAATGGGAGAGAGAGAGAGAGAGAGAGAGAGAGAGAGAGAGAGAGAGAGAGAGAGAGAGAAGAGTACTGAATGAATCAATCATGACTAATCAGGTGCTCTCTTCTTTCTTGTCCCTCTCACTTGTTTGCCTCACATGTACACACACACACACACACACACACACAAAGTCACCACAACTGGTGTTTTGGAGGAGATGGTATCTTGACAAAATAGGACACTTTAATATTTATTTATGCACTGGGAGAGAGAGAGAGAGAGAGAGAGAGAGAGGCACACTTTAATGCTCTTTCAATACTTTAATCCCATATACATTTTCCCCAGACAGCTCATGAGGATTTCACACATCGACTGAGAGAAATCACTGAATTATCACCTGAACTTCTATTAATGTATTAATGCTGCATTCAGCTTACCTCAGAAGTGAGATGTCAGAGCTCTGAATTACAGCATTTTCATTCAAGCTACACAGGGGGCTACACGGGGGGCTACACGGCGGGGTTGGAGGACATGGACGCCTTGTTTGTCTTTTGTCAGGGACAACTAGCCAGCTAACATGAGTGACATGGGTGACGAGTATACGCATTTTCCTCCTCACTCATATTCAGTGTTATAGATTTTACAAGGGAATACTGTATGTCTGTGCTGATGGATCTAAAGCAAATACTTTGATACATACGTACAGTATAACTCATACAGTATAAATGTAAGAAATGCCACTTTGTTTCATGTTGACACTGAGGGCAGCCATGTTGATTTGACATCACCTGCTGAACTTGGAATTGAGGAGACCGTCCCGAGTTCCCGAGTAGGAATTCTGAGTTTTCTTCGTTTTTTCCTAGATGGAGGTCAGCGTTATGACCTTTAGTTAAATGCAGCATAAAGGCTGAGTGCTGTAGGTCAGCGGTCCCCAACCTTTTTTGCGCCACGGACCGGTTTAATATCAGACAATATTTTCACGGACCGGCCTTTAAGGTGTGGCGGATAGATACAACAAAATAAAGTGATAGGACCGACATAAAAACTGGGGTATTTTTAAATATAATAATAAACGTGAATCCGATGTGAAATCGCAGCTTTATTAGCAGCGTCCTCGTAACATCCTCTCTCCCCCCTAACGCTCTCTGGTCTCTGTGGTAAGGTTTCAACATATCACGTGACCGAGACAAGCGTCTTGACATGCGTCAAGAGTGAGTCGTATAAGGATGTAACGGAGAGAATCCGGTCATTTTTCAGATCCAGATAATAAATAAAACGGAAATAATGTAAGTTATTTATTCTTTCTGTGACCCACGGACCGGAGGTTGGGGACCGCTGATGTAGGTAATCACCACTGCAGACCGAAACTAACCGATGTGTAAATCAGGAATAAATCACAAGGGGGCGTGCTGTTACAGGAAAATCATCAACGACCGGAAAGTGGTGTGTGGCCACTGTGGAGCGAAGTTGATTCTTTGTTCCAGTAAAACACGTCCAAAAGTGATTTACACAACAGTTTGCTGAAGATTACCTTTTAAAAAAACTAATTAAAAACAGTTGTTGTTTTTTTTTTTTATTACTAATTATAACATCTTTAATGTTATAAACTTGTTTACACAGGGTGTCCCAAAAGTCTCCATACCGAGAAGAAATGAACACTTTTTAGCAAAATGTCTTCCAAAATTTTTCATATATATTGTTTAAAAATCCCTTTGGCGCAACTGGCGCAACATTGAGATGGACTTATTTTAAGGCATTTTGGCAGACTCCCTTATCCAGAGCAACTTACATTCATCTCATTTATACACTTGAGCAGTTAAGGGTTAAGCCTTGCGCAAGGGCACAGCAGTGGAGATTCCAGCTTGGTGATGCTGGGATTTGAACTCATGACCTTCTGGTCTTAACCACTGAGCTACCACTTCCAAATCTGTTCACCCAACAGTGGGCTCAAACCCATAACCCTGAGATTAAGAGTCTCGTGCCCTACCGATTGAGCTAGCTGGTTACATTAACAGGAAGAACACACAACACTGTTGGCAAACTTATTAACTAATTCAAAAGACTGGACGTGTCGCAGACCAACGTGGCAAACATAGTCCCGTACTGTATGGAGACACCATGCTGATACATGTAATGTTGTGGAACTTCTGTGAAAAAAGTTAGTTCCTGTTATCACTTAGAGCAGGTTACAGCAGCTCTACATGCTCCTTCACCAGCCTCAATAAATTTTCTCTCCTTAAGTTAATAAGACAAAATAAATAAACAAACAAACAAAGACAACACTGCTTGTCATGCATATTCACATATTTGCCTCAAAACTGTATGGAGTAGTTTCAGCAGTGAAGATGCGGTTACAAACATTGGAGATTCTGTCCAGAAGTGTTAAATGTACATCTCCTCACAAAAAACTTCTCCAGATCACCAATGATGCGTTTCTTTGTTAAATAATTACACGCTTTGATCTGTATTTTGTAAATCTTAAGTCTGCTATACAAATTCCATGCATACGAGTGAGGGGACAATTGTGGTTATTGCTTCACATCCACCACATTCGCCAGATCTCGCTCTTCACAACTTCTTTTTGTCCCCGAAATTAAAAATAAGACTGAAAGGGAAAAGATTCGCCACTGAGGAAGAAATCCAGAAAAAAAACTGCTGGAGGCACTAGACATGATGACAAAAGATGACTAGAGGAAATGAATGAGAGAAATGTTGGGACATCGCATCGCATCACGAGGAGAGTTCATTGAAGGGGATTCAAGGAGAAATGCTGTACACTGTAGAACACTAGTTCTTCTTTTGTTTTTAAACAATTCTGGGATTTTTTTTTAGGTCCCTACTCAGAAGTTGTGCAAGTAATATTGGAGACCATATAACATATTAGAACGAGTGCATTCATAAAAGCCTGTGATTTGCCTTGCAGCCGGAACTCCTGGTCGAGCCAGGCTGTTTAAGAAGATGAATGACAGATGTTTTTCTGATCTCCTCTTGGCCAGCTCTGTATATTCTACATACATTGTGCATCTTATGACAGTGTATTACTTCATTTGATGTGTGTAATCAGTCTGAAAGCATCCCGATGCTTCTGAGAGTGTGTAAATACACTACAATTTTTTTCCTGGAGCTGTATCCCCATGTTTTACCCCAATTGCACTTTACATATTCATGTGTACTGAGCCACTGTATTGTGTTGTATTATTTGAGAAACACTTTCATCTCAGTATACGGTGTGTGTGAATATATGGATTGCATGATAATTAAAAAGAAACAGCTCAATGTTGAAATAGGACACTACTCTGGAAAAAAACAACAAAAAAAGTAGTAATTGACTCGAACAAAATAGACACATCAGCATCTTCCATTTCCTCCACTGATCTGATTTTATTTGTAAGGCACCAGCAGCATTTCCTTACTGCAGAAATATCCATTTATATAAAGTAAAATGTTACTTTGTGTGTGTTTATTATTTCATCCTCAGGCTATTGTATAACACTGTTATTTTTGCACTTTAGATTGTACTATAATCAGAAAATAAGAGGTAAATTTTTTTTTTTTTTTTTTTTTTTACAAAGCACAAAATGCTTACAATGCGTAATGGAAATAAATGCAAATGATCAAGCGGAGCAGACGGCAATCAATGATTGGGCAAGAAAAGGGTGGGAGGAGCTAACAGGGGGTCATAATATCTTCTAAAACAATCACTCAAGATACAAATGAATCAGTGGACACAAAGCTCTAGTTCCATGTAGAACAGGACACATCTACTGTCCATGACTGCTTCTGTGAGACCAACACCTACATTTAATTAGTCAGGAGAAGAAATCGCAACATCTGTCTGACTACATATCCACACAGAGGCATGGCATTTTAGAGAGAGAGAGAGGAAAAAAAAAACAGCTATAGAAATAAAGTATGCGAGTAAGCACGTGTAGCAAGTCATCCTCAAGCATGTTGGTAGTTACACAATCTGGCACTTTTACACTAGCACAACTAGATTCCATTAAAGAGACACTTCCTGTTTCGCATCATATCAAACCACTTTTTTTTGTGGTTCTTCTGCTGTTATATCCTCTTGAGACCTGAACTATGTTGTGCATTTTAGTTTTTCTTTTCTATTTACTAGGTTGTGATGTACGTAAAAACAGATATTCAATTGAGTAAAAGAAAGATGTTCTTGTACAACACAGTGGGGTCTCATGAGGATATAAACACAAAATGGCACAGCGTGCCATCACTAGAGCACTGCAATACGTTTAAACAGTTAGTTTGAAGAATAAAACGACGTTCCATAGGTTGAGAACTCGGATCATTTCTAGGTGCTGTTGGCAAAATTAAAACAGCCAGTTATACGGATTTATAAAAGTGAGTCTAAAGCACACACATGCTTACAACAAATATATGAAATGGCAGAATGAATAAACATAAGATCACAAGCAACCTTGCATGAGATGTACCTAAAAAGTCAGCATCATTAAAAAAAAGGAAACAAAAGAAAAAAGGATATTTGTACTGCCACTGTACACTGCAACAAACATACACACGCAGTACATGAACAGTTAGTAAATTAAAAGTGGATTCGGTTCTCAAAATTTAGTTTGTTTTTTGGATTTTGAGTTTTTTTTTCCCTGTCAGGAATGCAAACAGGCTGCACTGAAAAGAAAGCAAACTTACAGTGACGTCCTGTACATAGGCTCCTCAGGAGGAAGGCGAGGTTTTCTACTTCAGGTTGCTTGTGCAATGGAATCTAATAAAAATAAAATCTGACTGCAGGTTATCAGTAAAATAAATTTAATTAATACGCAAAATGTTTGTTTGTTTAATAAGCTGCTCACTCAGAACTGATTGGATAAATGTGCATTTGATTTAGACGCAAGGCTAATCTCATTTTGCAAAAAAAGAAAGGGAAGTTTGTGTAACAAGGTTAACGTTTAAAAAAAAAAAGGTGGTGGTGGTGGGGTAAAAAAAAATCATGATCATGGCTGCAACAGAACATGCCGAAAGCTTACTGCCCCCTATTGGTGGAAATAAATAGTTTCATCCAGGACAAAAGGCACAACAGAAGACAGCGAGAATCAGATCTGCAAATAAATGTAAAGAATTACTCAGGATCTCCAGAGAACTTATCAAAAATGTTACTTGGTTTCCTTAAAGAAGACAATGTGCTCTGTTTTAGTTTCAGAATACGAGGATCCTTGGCCCTCGTACGTCATGTGCTTTTTTTTTTTGCATGCATGCATCTAACAGGGGAAATCTGCTGAGAGAAAGTGCTTCTCGTTTCTCGTATACAATTTTTCCACCATATTATTTCTCCAAGTACCTCTAAGAAAAACACAATTTTTTTTACCAAATTGACAGTAACAGATAATACCATTAAAAAAAAAGATTAGATTTTTTTTTTTTTTCCAAACAGTTTGCCCCTTCACTTGGTGAGAGGGTTAGCTGTTCTGATTAATGATGCTAAATGCTCTCTGTCTATGACAGTGAGAAAAAAAACAAACACACTTTCAGAATCCACACACATTAAACAGTAAGATATATATAGAAAAAGAGGGGTCACACAATTTGTAGGTCATTTTAAGTCTAGCGAATATCATAACTAATCCAGAATCTCTCCGTTTTGCACTGCAGTGACCTCTGATTAACACCTCAAACAGTTTAAAGGAATATTTCGAGAAAAAAAGTAGAACAAATATATAACATTTCCCCTTCATCCAAGTAGTAGTCTCTTTCACCCAAAACATACTGCATAACCACATATTCACCTCAAAGAAAGAAAATTCAGTAATGACGTGGTTACAAACCTCTAACACTGGAGACTCCTTCCATAAATGTTAAACAGAAAGCTTCAAAATAATAATGATTACAAGATGTATTTTTTGTTAAACACCACCACAATCCTTTTAGTATTATGGTTTCTGCATATAACGGTCCCTGTGCAAGTTGTTACCATAGAAACGATAACTTGCCTTAGAGACAGCACTACTGTAAGGACAAAGCATGTCTTGCCCTAATCTCTAAATAACAGAATCCGGCATGAACGTTGAAACACAGACGCATGGTAGGTGGCATTGTAGCAGAAACCTGGAAGTCAGTTTGTAAATATGGGCTTTCCTTCCATAAAACTGTTCATTAAAGAAGACCACATATCTTAGAGATGTTGTTTGGGGCAAATATGTGAATACTTGAGAAATGATTTTGGGTGAAACAGACTTCCGTTTTATTTTTTAAGTTATATTAACGTGTTCGCTAATGTCCAGTGCAAAACTAAAGAATCAAATGATAGACTAAACCTTTCTTGTAAATGTAAAAAAAAATTTTTTAAAATATTCCTTTAAAAAGGTCAGTAAGTCACTTTATCATAACTCGCTGTAAGCCATTTTAACTGCTATTTATAGAGGTAAACTACACCCATACCAAAAATGCTGCAGAAAATAAAGCATGCATTCTACAGTTCACATACTACTGCTGACCTTCATTACGTTCGTTTCTTTTTCTCTTCATTCTGTCAGCGATAAATGTGCTCCTTCAAAGGTGAAGGATAAAAGAATCTCTTCAGGAGAAAGAAAAGTAGGGGGAGATAAAACTGTGCTCAAAGAAACACTGGTGGTGCCTCAGTGGAGCTTGATGGCCATGCTGAGACAAAGCAGAATATGGAATACATAGTACATAGAGATATACACATATACACTCTGAGAGAGGTGCCAGAAAAATAACTAAATATATAGGAAAAATATTTATGGAAGAGAAAAAAGAAAAAAGAAAGAGCTGGACTGCTGAATATAAAGCTAGTGGAACGATCAAGAACAGATTATCAAGATCACAATAGCAATTTACAGCAATGAGGAGAAAGAGAAAGACAGACAATGCGCTTGTGCTGTAAGCGAGCACTGGAGGATGAGGTCACAGCCAATAGCAGGCAGAGAAGCGACGTCTAGTCGGACTTGTCGGCATCCTCATCACGGTGGCTGTCCGAGGCGTCTCTGGCGCTCTTGTCCTCCTTGGCGA